TACAGGCTTGTGCCACTGTGCCCAGCCATTTTCACATGGGCTCAGGGGTTCAAACTCAGGCCCACCAGTTTGCGTAGCAAGCTAGCAGACTGAGTTGCCTTCTGAGCCCTTATCTCTACTATTGTCGAGTAAAACAGGAAGATACCTTCCCCCAAAGGTATGTATTTTGTGAAACACTTAATGGAGTGGAGTTTTCCAAAGTATCCTTTTGACTATCACAAAAGGCTGCCTTTGGTCCAGATACCCAGGTTCTAAAAGCCCCTGAGGTTTCTCAACATTTAGCTGGTACCCCAAGACACTTAAAGTCAGGGCTTCACTAACAACAACGAATGTGCATTGTCACTGAGTTAACTAAACTCTAACCTCTGCATTTTAAAGAGATTTATCATTTACTTTTGAAGTTTCAGTTGACCTAATAGATCTAATTGCTGTTATTTTCACCAGGTTAGTAGGGTAGAACTGAGCACTTTCAAAAGCAGGAACTGTGTCAACTCTACTCTTTCCTAAGCTTTTCTAGGAAAAGCTTTACTTTCAACTTAGAGGTCCTGGTTTTTGCTGTTGTTGTTGGTTGTTTGGTTGGTTGGTTGTCTTTTGGTTTTTGTTGTTGTTGTTGTTGTTTTAAGCTGAAATGTTGTTTAATATAATTTAAACCAAACAACACCCCTTGTAACTCAGTACATCACAGTCTATTACAGAGAACTGGCTCTTATTAGCCCCACTGACTCTCCTCGTGGAGTTTGGTAAATAGGATTTAATTGACGGTTGGGCACACTGACTGAATATGGGGCCAGATTTAATCTATGTATTTCCAAAGCCATGTTGTGTTTTTATACGGGTAAAAGTAAAATGAGAAGTTAGAATTTTATTTCCCATGTTTTCTGGAGACTCCACGACCCACTCCGAAGAGCAGAATTCACAGTGTGAGCTGTAGACTCACCCTGAGCATCCATCCCTGCATCTCTAACCAACATCAGCCTTGGCCTTCAGATGGATCTGAGGGTGGGTCCTCACCTGTCTGAGTCAGCCAATTCCCCCAGTCCCAGTGGCCAGTGAAGGGGACACCAGGAAAGCCAGTTTGGAGCTCTGTGGTTCACACATGCAATCCCAGCACTGGGAGGGTGAAACAGGAGGATTGCTAGTTTAAGGCCAAAGAGCAAGTGTAGCTGGGTTTTTGTTTGTTCGGGTTTTTGTTGTTGTTGTTGTGTTTTGTTTTGTGTGTCTGTTTTTTCTCTCTTTGAGGGGCCTGTCACAGAGCTCCCAAATAAATCACACAGAGGCTTATTCTTTCTTATAATGCCCTGCCTTAGCTTGGCTTGTTTCTTGGCCAACTTTTTATTAACTATCCTCTCTATCTTTCTGCCCTTGGGTTTTATCTTTCTCTATTTCTGTACACCTTTCTTTAAGTCTTACTTCCCTAGATAGTTGTGTAGCTGTGTGATTGGCCTCCTCTTTCTCTCCTTCTCCTGCTCCCTGATCTTTCTTCCCAAATTTCTCCTATTTATTCTCTCTGCCTGCCAGCCCCACCTAGCCTTTCTCCTGCCTCGCTATTTACTGTCCACCTTTTAAAAACACCAATCCGGTGTTTTAGGGCAGGCAAAGTAACACTGCTTCACAAAGTTAAACAAGTGTTAACATAAAAGAATGCAACACATCTTTGCATCATTAAACAAATGTTCTACAGCATAAACAAATGTGACAACAGATATACAACTAATATTCTGCAAGTGAGACTCTGTCCTGAAAGAGAGAAAGAGTGGCAGAGAGGGAGGGAAGAAGGGAGAAAAAACGAGAAAAAAAAAAACTCTTCCTGAATTGTTGAAGTGTGTCTTAAGACTTCTGTGACATCTCCAGAAAAAGGCCAACTCTGTTCCCTCCATGAGACCACTGTAAGTCAGTTTATCACCCTGCAGATGGCAGCTCTCAAGAGCCACCCTGTAAAACCCAGGAAAGAGATGGCTGTTGAAGGAAGAAACAAAGGATGTAAGACATTGGTCCTTGTGAAGACTTGCCTAAACCCAGCCATTATCCTGGGACTTCTCAGGTACACAGATCACTAAGCTCCAGTTAACTGAGCAGCTATTTGTTTAAATTGGTTCGACAGAGACACACTTAAATATCACTGACAATGAAGCACACCCCTTACCAACATGACTGTTAACTCCCTCTTAGAGTTTGTTTTGCTGTTATTTTTATTTCTTTTTTACTCAGTCTAATGATTTATTTATACTCTAAATCAAGAACAATTATGGCCTAAGTATTAAACAGAGAGTAATAGTGTATAATAAAACACTAAATTGCAAAACTATCTAACCTTGGGGAAATATCTGAATTTTTCTAATCTTCAGTTTTCTTATTGGAAGGTAGAAGCCACTTTTAAAAAGCCTGCATGTTTATTATAACAGTTACCTTAAAATATGGCATGTCGGATGTTACCGTGTACCTGGCACATAGTCCCGGGTACAGTGTAGATGCAAGGCAGATCGATGAAGCAATAATGATTATCATTTATAGAAGCCAACTATCTATCTGCCGGGCACGTCTTATAGCCTACCACTTTAAATTTCACAAACCCCAGAAGGGCATTATCACTGTCAGTCATCAGATGCCGGAACCTAGTTTGGGAGAGAGCAAAGGTGAGCGACTGGATAGATAGCCAGGTTGGCTTGACTTCAAACTTCAATATTTTCCACTACCCCAAGCTGTTGTTCAGAAAGCTGTGGCTGATGCAGTGAAACTCACTTTGGGTTCTGAAAACAAGAAAGGAGATTTTAGTAGAGGAAGGATGTAGCCAGCTTTGACGGGCACAGAACATTGCTAACTATTAGAGGACAGAAGCAAGACTTCACACATCAGAGCTCTCTTCTCCAGCCCTAGCACAACGGCAGGCAGGGTAGATGATGGAGCCGTCTACTTCCTGCTCATCTCGTTCCAGCAAGCTGGGAGGCATGCACTATCTGACCGGTACGCTTCAAAGAATGTGTCACGCTCCCCTTTTTCTCTTTTCCTTTCTGTTGTTGGGATACAACTCCCGAACCAAAAGCAACTTAGAGAAGAAATTATTTCACCATAGAGGTCACAGTCCATCACTGGAGGAAACTCATGGCAGAAGGAACCCCAAACAGGAACCTGAAGCAGAAACCCTGGAGGAATGCTGCTTGCTAGCTTGTTTGCAGGGCTCGAACATACCTAGCTTTCTTCTACAAGACGGGACCGCATGCCCAAAGAATGGTGCTGCCCAGGTGAGCTAAGTCCTCCAGCATCAGTTATGAATCAAGACAGCGTCTCCACAGACACAAGCCCATCTAATGCAGGCAGTTCTCTCCTAGATAACTTCAGGCTGCATCAAGTCAACAGTGAAGGTGAACTAAGTCATCCATCTTAGGGATAGAGAATAGCAAGTGTTTTTTGTTTTTTTGTTGTTGTTGTTGGGTTTTTGGTTGTTGTTGTTTGCTTTCCCATGTAGTTGATTTTACACAGGGAGGTTCCCCAACTCTACCTGTACCTATGAAATTTGTTCAGTTCTGGGGCTCTGCACTAGCAGACCCATGACCCTGTCAGCTCTCCAACCATGGCTGACATTCCAGTTTGACCAGTAATGGTGGTTACATTTTGCTTTCCATCTCTGTAAGGATCCATCCACTTGCAGCTATCTCCGTGTGGAATTTAGGCATAATTTTGAAACCTCCTACCCCTTCAGCATTCAGCAGGCCTTGGTAGAAGTCACATTCTGATATGGTCAGAGGGCACCATGACACCTGGTGTAGTGTGAGCAGAGGGTGTCTGCTGAAGAGGGTGAAGGCAAGCCAGATAAGGGGGGAACACGGAGTAATGGAGTGCTTACCAGGAAGACAGAGAGTCTGGGTTTGATGTGGGAGAAGAATGTGAATGAAGACGTGAAACCTTAGTGTCTGAACCCCAGAGTGAAAGAATAGCGATTTTGTTCCTCCAGTGCAGACAAGAATGAGTATGCCTGGAGTCAATCCACTGCCAGAGGCAGCTTCTTGAATTTCTAAGCGAGGAAGGATAGGCTGCACTAGAGAAGTAGACATGTGCACAGGACCGAGGGCTGCATAGTAAAGCTCTGCGGGGAAAGCGATTGGGTTATGGTGACAGTCCTGCTATGGGAAAGGCACAAGGGGTTGGGAGACAAGCTCTGAAAGGAGTAATGAGTGGAACCCCTGAGCTGGTGGGGAGTGGGGCGCAGCATCCAGATGTTGGGTTTGAAATGTTGACATAGATATATTCCTGGTCACCAAAGACAGGGAAGTCTTAACGTAGGGGGTCAGCACCCTTAAAGAGGTGGCACACCTTTGAAGATAGCCACAGAATGCATAAATATGGAAATGACCAGAAATGGCAAGGGTGCCTTACAACAGGGACATTGGTGAGGAGTGGATGGGGGAGAGGGGACCACGGTCCTGGCCTAGAGGGAATAATAGAAAAACGTTGCACTCAGGCTCTTAGCAGAGCAGGGCAGTTATGCCCTCTCTTCAGTACACTCACAGCTGAATGCAAAGTAGCCTTCTGCTCAGCAGCCCTTCCTGGGCTCCGGGGCCCACTTCTACTTGCTCCCTTGCATCCTCTGCTCCCTCTATCTCTTTCTGAGATGAGGAGTGGCTCTGGGATGCTCAGGTTCGAGTCCCAAGCCCGGAATGGGCGCCCACTGTGCTGCCCACCTGGTCGGTTCTGCAGCCCACAACTAGTTCCTGCTGTCATCCGGACTGCCGCAGGCCAGCGCTCCTCCCGCGGGTGGGGTTTCCGCGGTCCCCCAACCCCCGCCTTTGTTGTAGGTTCCCCCAAGACACAGACACCCCGTGTCTTGAGGTGCCTGAGGATTTTTAGTGAGGGTCCGGGAGAGGACAGGGATGCCAATGGTGCTTGGAAGCTCCTGGGCTCCGGGCGGGAGCCGGGAGGAGGGAGCGCAGCGGGAGCCGCGGGGATTGCGCTGCAGAAGGGGAGGAGAATGGGGAGGAGCTGGGGGGCCGGCGGGCGGGGAAGGAGGGGTCTTAAGGGGCGGCCAGCCCAGGTCGGACTTCCTTGGAGCCTGGCGGTCAGCGACGAACACACCTTCGACTCCAGCTCTCTGCCCTGCTCCGCGCCTTCCGGAGCCCCGGACCCGAGCACCGTGAGTGCAGAGAGGAGGTTGGGTGGCTGCGGGCGGCTGGGGTGCTGGGAGGAGGGGACGAGTCTGCGGGACCCGAGGAAGTTTCCAGGGTCCGCGCGGGGCCCAGAACCTTCAGTCTCATCCTATTCTCTCTTCCGCAGATGTGGAAACGCTGGCTGGCGCTAGCACTGGTGGCCGTCGCCCTGGTCCACGGAGAGGTAGGTGACCGGTCTCTGGGGGTGGGACGTGCGCCCCAGGGATGCTCTCTGGGGGTGGGACTGGGGGTCCCCACCCTTTCGATAGAGTGGGACTCTGGAGTGCTCCCAGCAGAGATTCTACGTAACAAACTTAAATCTCAATTCTGAAGTAGTTTGGGCCATTTAGCTGGAGCCCCACCACGCCTAATATGGAGGGAGGCTGGGTAGTGGAAAGAGGGGACAGACTGGGCGGATAGAAGCAGAGGCGGCGGCCAGAGCAGCAGCAGAGTTCAAAAAGGCGCCGTGAGTTCTTCTGTTCACTTCAGAGGAAACTGCGGATAGTTACGCACTTTTCCTTTCCAAGTTTTTCCTGGTGGGGGAGGATTTAAAAGATTTAAAATAGCAGAATGAAATTTCCTTTTTCTTTTATGGAGTGAATTGTGATCCCCCAAAATGTCTTCTCTTTGTAAAATGTCCTGGATTTTTTGTTATCTGGGCTCCATAAGAGCCCTTCACAGTCCAAATTTTCCCTCAAACTCTGTTGAGCAAGTGTGAGAATCTGGGTTCTGCCCTTTGCGGGGCCTCTGGTTCTTAGTTAAAACATGCAGCAGTTCGTTCTCTCTCTCTCTCTCTCTCTCTCTCTCCCTCTCTCTCCTCTCTCCTCTCTCTCTCCTTTCCTTCCTTTCAGCTCTTTATCCCCTTTCTTTCTTTCTTTTTTTCTTTCTTTTTTTCTTTCTTTCTTTCTTTCTTTCTTGTAATGTTTTCTTTTCAACTCCGGTGACCTTCCTGAGACACTACAAACAAACCCTACACTCACAAGCCCCTCCATTAACTCAAAGGTTTATGGGCAGAAAATAAACAATTCTAAATTCCCTGGGCTCCAGTCTCCAGAAGAGTGAGGTCAGAAACTAAACATTTGATAATTATGGCAGGAAATGTGGAAGGAATTAAAAAGCATGAGAAAGAAGTGGAATGTGCCTTACAAAAGAAATAGCTCCCTGGTGGGTGGTTTATGGTCCCTCTTTGAGTGTTTCTTTCATATTACAGTTTAGCCCCGCCCTTTACATCACAGCTTGATTCTGTCCCAGAATTCATAAATGCATGCAGTCTTCTTTCTTCAAAAAAAAAAAAGACACATTCTGTACTGATGTTTTCTTTAATTCACTCCATTATTGATTGAGGTAGAAGTAAAGCTATTTTTACTTCCATTGAAATAAAAGCAGCAAGTTTTTATTGGGTAGCTACTACTTGTAAGAAAATTCTTCTTCAATCATAAAGAAACCGAGTCAGAGAAGTTTGTGTAACTTATCAAATGCCTTCAGTTACAATAGTGGGGGCAAAATGGGAACCAAAGCCTTCTAACTCCAGACCCCAGACTCCTAATTACTGCCTGACCCCACTTGTAAGCATGAAGGCTTAGAATTCCACCAGGTATTGTGACATCAGACATTGGGTGCTTGTATCACTTGTATCATTTCTTTTAAAAGCCTTTCAAAGCCTGCGAGTGGGCTTTGCTAGTTCCATCTGGCAGACAAGGGACAAAGTTAAGGAAACGAGTTAAACCGTCCATGTTCATATAACCTATTAGCTCTGAAAGTGGATCAGTATGAGCCCTTACTACCCCGCAAACCCTGATCCTTCAGCCCCAGCTTGCTCCTCATTCATTTTTCTTTAGAGTCTGAGTGGAGGAAATAGCCCTGACTTTTTTAGTCCTGGTTAAAGAATACTCCTCCATCCCTGCTATGGCCCGTGGGTTGTTTGCCTCTAAGCCTAGCACTTGAGAGACTGAGGCAGGCTGATATCTGTGAGGCCAGCCTGGTCTACATAGTAAATTCCAATACAGCCAGAGCTATGTAGTGAGACCTTGTTTCTAATGATGATGATGATGATGATATAGAAAAGGCAGCTGCTGCTCTGTGGTAGATGAAGTGAATCCCTGGTTAGTTTTACAGCCAGCTTACAAATTGCCAGCCCCTTTGTAAACCCGCAGGAACTCTTTGCAGAGGTAAGGACTTCGGGGACTGGGACTCTTCCACACAAGGCTGTGTGCTTCAAGGTCTGGGTCTGTCCTAGGTAACCTGCCCTTCACTCTGGCCTCCTCAACCCACTGCACTACAGGGAACCACTCACCCAAGGTAGCTAGGCCCTCAGCTGCAATTTCCTGCTGGAGCTCTACGGAAGAACAGCCAGTATTCAGTTCCCAGTCAAAACCTTGGCGCTGCAGGGTGGGGGAGTTGGGGTGCTGAGGCATGAAAACCGAGGAGTTGATGCAGAAAAGAGGCAGTGAAGTCGGAACACAGGCACAATGAAGAGGGATTGTGGACGTGAGCCACAGCCATGCTATATTTCATGACTTCACTTTATTAGGGATTATTATCTTTCAATCAACCCAGCCTCTATTGCCTGACCTTTCAGGTAACTCTGGCGAGTTTTAATGCACGTGTTTAGTACGGCATCTCTAATCATGGTGGAAAAGTAAATTAACCCTCTGTGGGAGACGTGACTTGGCATACATTTTAAACACTGTATTTGCAGTTAATGATGCTTGCAGTACAATTTTTTTTTTCCTTGTTAACCATAAGAACATTCAGCAAACACTCAAATATGGTATTTCTAGTCTTTTGGCATGAGTCCATTTTAGTAAAATTTAGATCTGCGGCCATTGTGCAAATACTGTTGAACTCCCAAAAACTGAAACATAGAAAATAAAGTGAACTTTCTTGGTGCTATTCGCTGTCATAATCAAACCCAAGAATTTAATTCGCTTCTTAAAAACTGTGATGGTTCTACAACTTCTGTTGGCTTTTGAAAACCCAAAGCCTTTGGAGTCAACTTTCAGAAGCAGAGCTGTTCCTTCTCAGGGAAGGGTGGCCTATACATTCTTAATACTGGTGTAAATTCTACTTTGTTAACAGTTGAGAAACTATTACCAAATCTCACTAAAGAGGAGTATTACATTGTTTCCAATGTTTTCCAGTAGTATCATACCTGGGACCTCAGAGTAACAATGTTGGGGCCGTTTGCTCCCTCCTCCCATCACCTTGTCTCTACTTTACCACCAGGGTGTTTTTTTTTGCAACCAGCCTCCACCAGAATTCTGTCCCATCCATGTGAGCACACACAAGTGTTCTTCAGAACTCTGCATGTCTCTAGATCTACACATATTGGACAGGACTAGGCTGGGGGGGGGCAGCAGCAGAGAGGGGGCTTGCACTAACCATCAACCTGCCTGCTTTTTCTTTCGAGGCTTCTCCCACTGGGAATGACCACAGCTCTTTTGGAAGCTTTGGTAATGCAATATAGGGGTGATTTAGAGAATTCCAGGCATTAGTTTGTGTGCCCATGGAGTCTTGAGGAGTGTAATTTAGTTCCTTTGATATGACAGGCTAGAGGGGACACATAGCCCAATGGCCTGCTTTGGGAGGACAGTCTTTTTTTTTTTTAATTGATTTTATTGAGCTCTACATTTTTCTCTGCCCCCCTCCTTTTCTCTCCCCTTCCCTTCAGCCCTCTCCCATGGTTCCCATGTATCTTTTTATACTTCCCTTGTAGATTAGATCCATGTATAACTCTCTTAGGGTCCTCGTTGTTGTCTAGGTTCTCTGGGATTGTTGTTTGTAGGTTGGTTTTCTTTGCTTTATGTTTAAAAACCACTTATGAGTGAGTACATGTGATAATTGCCTTTCTGGGTCTGGATTACCTCTCTCAATATGATGTTTTCTAGATCCATCCATTTGCCTGCACGTTTCAAGATGTTATTATTTCTTTTCTGCTGTGTAGTACTCCATTGTGTAAATGTACCACATTTTCCTTATCCATTCTTTGGTCAAGGAGCATTTAGGTTGTTTCTAGGTTCTGGCTATGACAAACATGCTGCTATGAACATAGTTGAGCACTATGTTCCACAATTGTGGAATGATTGAGCATCCTTTGGATATATATACCCAAAAGTGGTATTGCTGGGTCTTGAGGAAGGTTGTTTCCTAATTTTCTGAGAAATTGCCACATTGATATCCAAAGGGGCTGTACCAGTTTGCGCTCCCACCAGCAATGCAGAAGTGTTCCCTTTACCCCACAACCTCTCCAGCATAAGTTGTCATCAGTGTTTTTGATCTTGGCCATTCTTATAGGTGTAAGATGGAATCTCAGAGTTGTTTTGATTTGCATTTCTCTGATGGCTAAGGATGTTGAGCATTTCCTTAAGTGTCTTTTAGCCATTTTAGATTCCTCTGTTGAGAGTTCTCTGTTTAGGTCTTTACTGCATTTTTTATTGGGTTATGTGTTCTTTTGATGACCAGTTTATTGAGTTCTTTGTATATTTTGGAGATCAGTCCTCTGTCCGATGTGGGGTTGGTGAAGATCTTTTTCCATTCTGTAGGCTACCGTTTTGTCTTGTTAACCTTGTCCTTTGCTTTACAGAAGCTTTTCAGTTTCAGGAGGTCCCATTTATTAATTGTTTCTCTCAGTGTCTGTGCTGCTGGGGTTATATTTAGGAAGTGGTCTCCTATGCCAATGTGTTCAAGTGTACTTCCCACTTTCTCTTCTATGAGGTTGAGTGTGGCTGGCTTTATGTTGAGGTCTTTGATCCATTTGGACTTGAGTTTTATTCATGGTGATAGATATGGGTCTATTTTCATTCTTATACATGTTGATATCCACTTATGCCAACACCATTTGTTAAATATGCTTTCTTTTTTCCATTTGACATTTTTTTGTTTCTTTGTCAAAGATTAGGTATTTGTAGATGTGTCAATTAATATCCGGTCTTCAATTCAGTTCCATTAATCCTCCTGTCTGTTTTTATGCCAATACCAGGGTGTTTTCAGTACTGTAGCTCTGTAGTAGAGTTTGAAGTCAGGGATTGTGATGCCTCCAGAAGTTTTTTTATTGTACAGGATTGTTTTGGCTAGACTGGGTTTTTTGCTTTTACATATGAAGTTGAATATTGTTTTTTGAGGTTTGTGGAGAATTTTGCTGGGATTTTGATGATCATTGCGTTGAATCTGTAGATTGCTTTTGGT